GTAATAAAGCACATATGAATCAAAAGTTACCAATACCCTAAAAGAAACGCGAACGCCAAGATATAATTTCAGCAGTCGCTCTAAACGGACGGATTGAAATTCACAAACGTGGGCCATGGAATTCGATAGGATTCGCGTATTCATCGGGAGCTAGAGGGTTGAACACGACCGCAAATGATACACAACACGCAGCTGTAATAGCATGTTAATTATGTTGAATAGCACACCGCTGCCTACCGCGCTCCTTTACGTGTAACTAATGCAGCCAGTCGTCTATACGAGATCGCGAGTGTGTTAACAGGGCCACCACACTAACAATACGTCGTTTACGGTGTAACGAGCAGCTGCCTATTAAACTGAAGCTACACGCAGCCAACCCAAGAACGTACAAACCTTATCACGGAAGCAATGTCAACCGCGTTCCCAGTTTCCGATGTTTCTAATTATCGTATCTCGCTACGAGTTGTCGAACATTCGCGTTTAGATCGATTCTGTCCTGTACGCACGAAATTTCCATCAACGCCCGGATAATAGTTTTAGGATGTTCTTAGAAACGCTCGGCCGGAGATTGGACTATCTTGATTGAACTGTTTCATTGGATAATGATTTTGTATTGTTATAACGTGGAAGTATGTTTGGGTGACACTGTTTCAAATTGGTGTGGCAGTGAGGTGCACTATGCGTCGTCGACTGTGTGAATGTATTTTTCAATTATTCAATTTTTCAATTTTTCAATTATTCAATTTTTCAATTTTTCAATTATTCAATTATTCAATTATTCAATTATTCAATTTTTCAATTTTTCAAATCTTCAATTTTTTTACTTTTTAATTTTCCAATTTTTCAATACCTCAATTCTTCAATTTTTCAATTTCTCAATTTTTCAATTTTTCAATTCTTCAATTATTCAATTTTTTCAATTCTTCAATTATTCAATTCTTCAATTCTTCAATTCTTCAATTTTTCAAAGCTTCAAAGCTTTAAATTCCAAAGTTTCAAAATTTCCATTTCACAATATCCCTAGATCCCTAAATTCTCAGCCTTCAATTCCCTAGATATCAAATCCCTATATTTCCATATTCCCTATATTCCTGAAATACCAAGATCCCCAAATACCCATAACTCCACAATCCTAATCCCTGATATTCCTAGCTTTCCACATTGCAATATCCCAAATTCCCTAGATCGACAAAATTCCTATACTCCCATATCCCTAGAATCTCCAACCCCAAGTTTCCAACATTCCTAGACCCAAAAATTCCCTAGATCCCCTAATCACTGTCCTCACTAAATTTCGGTTCCCTCAAAATCCTAGAAAATCTCTAAAATTCCCTAAAAATTAACAGAATTAAAGATGTAGATGACAGAATATTAAAAGTAGATCCAAAAGATTAGAAATAATAAACCGAAAGAGTGGAAGGATCGAAAGCGTCCATTTTTGGGTGGGTAGGAGAATAATTCTCCAGGAGAAGATTTTGAGGCGTCGTGACGCATCGAGTCCTCGAGCCACGAAACACCTGGTGCATTTTATCAGCTACAACGGTGCAGTTTGTGCTTTAAATAGCGTCAGGACCGCGCTATCGCCTGCCGCTATTAACTTAATCGCCATGCAGCCCGGCATGCACCTATGCGTGCCGCGTAACACGCTCTTTGGAAATTCGCCATAATAACCTGCACGTAGACCCGCGAAGAAAAGCAGCCGGTCTCGAACGGCCATAGAATCTCGAAACGTTCGACTTACAACTTTTCCGTTTCGAACTTCTCCGTTGGTCACGTATCACGTCGAGACGCTGGAATAAAAAGGGCACGTACGTTCACGGTGCAGTTGCCACACGAACGGCTAGGTTTATAAGCGTCGTTAAAACTTCTGCCAACGACGCGGCAACTTTTTACTCTTTCTTGTTCTGCCGAGGCTTGCGGGACTCGATGAACTTGAATTCGTACGGGAAATTCATTATCGCCCGGGCTTTCGTGACTCGGAACGAGAGACGGAGAACGGACGATAAAACGAACACTTCGGTATGTGTGGCTGTTGATTAAGTGCAATGGTGCCTAGGGATATTTACGAAATTCGAGCAACACGAAAGACGGATGGTGATTATTTTGGAAGTCAGTTTATTGACGAATACGCCATTTGTGAGAACGTTAATTAGGACATATAGTAGTTTATATGATCATGTGTGTTATACACATGTGTTCACATATGATCATATATGTTATTCACATATGTTCACATATGATCATATATGTTATTCACATATGTTCACATATGATTATATATGCTATTTACATATGATCATATATGTTATTCACACATGTTCACACATGATCATATATGTTATTCAAATAAGTCAGATTATATGACTTGTTATATTATTGATGTGGTAGTTTATGTGAATAAATATGTCACACATATGTGATCACATATGTTAGTCCATATGACCACATGCATTGCACACATATGATCACGTATGGTGCATATACATGATCGTATATATTACACCTGTATAATTACATATGTTTATATGTTTACATATACTCTTACATACATCATACACATATTAATACCTGCAGCACAGATACATGACCACATATGTTTCACATATGTGATCACATACGTATATGTATGATGTATATTGTGAGATATATTATAAGGATATCATCATGTTCATTAACATGTATGATACATATATTGTAACATATGTATATTATACATATATGATATATGATTTAAACATATATGATTTGTTATGAATTTTAAATATGTGTTTAAACATGAATTCTCAGTACGTGTTTCATTAAACGAGGAAAGTTTCGACGTATAGTTCTCTCAATACCAAGAAACCTTGGTTCTCTATTTTTTCCACTCTCGTCGAACCCAGGAGACTGAATACTTAAAAATTCCTTTGGCAGTGAATCGTTCCTTAGACCACGTTCCCCTAAAGACACCAGGGGAGTCCAGAGAGTCGGCGATGCATGGACCTCGGAACATTACCTCTATTTTATCTATTCTCAAAGTAAAGAGACGAGGAACTTAGAAATTCCTTTTATACCGAATCGACTAAAGAATCCGTCGGTAAAGCCGGCGACGCACGGGATACCGTACAAATCTGATACAGTATATCCTTTGATTCACGTACCGTGAATCCGCTGATCTTCAGAATTTTCTATACCGTTAAATAATGCGCAGTATTTAACGGCGGTTTAATTAAATTTAATTGAAAGATCTTTGAAAACGATTCGTTTTAACGAGATAAACGGGAATCGTTTCGCGTAATGCTATTCCTTGGTTAACGGGCAAATTAATTTGCCGAATCGAGGATTACCGACGTTATAAACTTGCGCGTGTTCCAACGTTTTCCATCTGTCGTGAATATTCACGATGAAACGATTAAAACGACGGGCAAACGGACGCAGCCATTTAGAAAATCGTAAGGCAACCGGTCAATTCGAAGATTTGAAACGATTCAATGCGTCCCACTGCATCGGTTGAATCACCGGGGATTAATTAATATCTCGAACACGATATTTTACGGGACCACTAGAAACGGATATTTACGTCGTTCGTCTACTACTATTTCACTCTTCTGTATGTGTTCGATGCTTTAGAAACCGTTGCAAACGATTACGCTTGCACGCAAATAAAAATAATGACGATGAAAATGAGTCGGTAGGAGGTGTAAATATTATAATTATTTTCAGAAAGTAGTGACATCATAGTAAAAGTAGACTTTGTTAATAACTTTTTGCAAATTCAATATTATACTTGAAGAGTACTTTGAAAAGGGCAACGTCACATATGTTATATGTGTATGATCACATGCGTTATACATGTGTGAATATGTCATATGTTATTAGATGTATGAAACATAACATACTTTAGTCACATACGTATATCATTACATATGTCAGATGATCACAAATGTCATATGTTACACATATGATCACATGTATCATATATGATCATATGTGTCACTATACTGTATGTTCATAATCATACATATTATTTGACCATTATTACATGTATTACACGTTCCTAATCACACATATCATACATGTACTATTACATTATACATAAGTGATCACATATGTAACATATGTGTACAACCACATATATGTATAACTACAACTCCTAAACAATTACAGCCTTAGATAATGCAATAATTTATTAAACCTCGTTATAAGATCAAAAAATAATGTTAGAGAAATAGTTTTGAATTGCAAGATAAGAAATTATACACATGAAAAATGACACGAGAGTTGCATGTATCTCCCATGCGTGCTGCTGTGTCAAGGTAGACACCGTTTAGGTGAACGATCGATAGAGCAGGTGGCAGCACATCGGTTGCTATGTTTCCGGTACTCGACAGACCATGTCCCAATAGCACTCGTGCCACTTGGCCGACAAGTGATTTTCTCGTTTACGAAAATTTTCGAAATCCCAGAAAACTTACTTTGTACTCTGTGTTCATCACAAAATAAACTCCAGAAATTAAACAAATTATCTTACTTCCCTCTTTCGATTTTACTAATATGATTATAATCAGGAAACCATTGTTATAAAAATGCATTATAATGCGAGGAATGTACCTAACCTAACCTAAATCACTTTGTACATACTTTGTATGCATCACAAAATGAACTCCAGAAATCAAATAAATCAATCTACTTTCCTCTTTCGATTTTACTATATGTATATGACTATAATCAACACACAGAAAATGTTCGTTGTAAAAATGCAATATAACGCGAGGAACGTACTTTTCGTCCAAAATTATTGAAGTTGTGATACAAGTGTTACCACATCTCAGAGAGTTAATTTTTGATTACACAGAGTTAATTGGAGTGTCTTTTGGTGTCCAAGAAAGACAAACTTTTCCAAAGGTCATCTTGTAGCGCGCGAACGAAAGAGGTGACGAGACAGATTTCACCGGTACAGAACAGATTAATCACAGTGAAATCGTCCACTCGTCAGACAACTGAATAAACGTTCTACTTACTTTGCGTATGTCTTCTAGATTGTGAATTTCCGGCGATAATCCACCGTGCACGCAGAGGAACTGTTGGTTCATGAGGGCCGCGAGCGGCAGACAGTCGAACGCGTCCATACACGCGTCGTACACCCTCTCCGAGTATTTTATTTTACCTGAAAACAAAGTGCAAACAATACTTAACCCTTCTTTGAATAAACACAAAAATAATTCAGACACGATGATTAAATATATTGTTATTTTCAAGCGTCCTTAGATCTACAGCTTATGTTTCACTATTCTGAATTTACTATACCAATACCGGTAAATAGTTCTATTGCATCTCTGTTCATTTATCTTGAAACTTCATTTATCTCGAAGGTAAACTTCATTTATCACAAAGCTAAACATTTAGCTTCATCAAGAGAGTTCGTCCACCTTTGTTACACTCGCATCTTCTCTTCCAACCGGAAATGGCGTTCGATTTTCGAATCAGTTGTCACGGAAACAAGAAACTGGATTTCTGGAGCATTGTTGCGCACTCGATGAAGATCACGCCGGATCTCGAAATCGCAGGAAGAAAACGAAGTCAAAGAAAATTGTACGAAAGATGGCAGACGAAGAACTGTATATCGAACACGAAAAATCGATGAATTTGATTCTTGTCTTCGTTTGATTTGACGGGGGAAGATATACAAAATACGAGCGCAGAGAAGAAATATCAGCGAGAAATGTTCTTCGGGGAACATCAAACGGAATATGTTGATTCAATGTCTTTTTACGATGATTTGATAGCTGAGGTAAACATTCTTTGGACAGGGGAGATATTGCCTTCGATTTTGGAATATTTATTAGTTCTGATGTAAATCAATGCTGGAATGGAAGTTTTTAAAATAGGACATGATTTATGTGGGACTTTGAAATGGATTTGTATAGTGATAGATAAGAACTGTTATAGTGGAAGAATATTTTAGTTGAGGAATGTGAAGCTATTGGTAATTATCAATTAATTCAATCTTTATAGAAGAACAAGAAGATATTGGAGAGTTGGAGCTGATTCATGTGGGACTCATATTTGAAACGTATTTGCATAGTGAAAGACAAGAATTGTTATAGTGGAAGAATATTTTAATTGATGAATGTAAAGATATTGGTAATCATCAATTAATTCAATCTTCATAAAAGAACAAGAAGATGTTGGAGAACAGGAGATGATTTATGTGGAAGTCATCTTTGAAACGTATTTGCATAGTGAAAGATAAGAATTGTTATAGTGGAAGAATATTTTAATTGATGAATGTAAAGATATTGGTAATCATCAATTAATTCAATCTTCATAAAAGAACAAGAATATGTTGGAGAATTGGAGATGATTCATGTGGGATTCATATTTGAAACGTATTTGCATAGTGAAAGATAAGAATTGTTATAGTGGAAGAATATTTTAATTGATGAATGTAAAGATATTGGTAATCATCAATTAATTCAATCTTCATAAAAGAACAAGAAGATGTTGGAGA